GTCTGTGATGGCATCCCTGAATATGTATGCATCGCATCATGTACAGTTGTATGTCTGCTGTGAACTGTATGTGACATATATACGGACATAGATATTGCTTGTTCACTGTAAGTGTTCGATTCTATTCTCTCGATATGTTTTCACAAATATATACAAAATGAATACGCTTATTGAGAAGCCAAACTCGTCTCACGTTCTGAGTGGCGTTTGGTCTCACACATTATATACACACAAGTAGGACAGATGCCGTTATTTTATCGCTTTCTCGTTCTTAAAAAATACACATCCATATACTGAAAATTCACAATTCTGAACTCCAAATCCGATTTTGCCTTGTTAAATATACCTAATTTTAAAATCAAATGGGTCACTATCTTCACTTGATTCAACTACAGGGTCCGCCTCAGCACCGCAATGGTCCGCCGGGTCAGAGTTTTTCTCCTGGCCCTACTTCTGGACCGTCTGGACCGCCTCAAGTAAGAATGGTGTAGATATATTATATTCATGCTACATCGTATGTACATGTGTACATGAACACATTGCGAGTATAATTACTTTGGTATTTGCTTATATGGCGAGATGTTCGCATGTCACTAGGGGATAGCATACTCGCAAGCCACTTATACATGTCTTCGTGCTTGCTTTATATTCTATTTTATGGACTCATACGTACTTTTATGCGCGGGTGCTCTCATGCTATATTTTTATGCTATGGCCATCACTTGTGTAGATATCGTAGATTCTCTAGTACACGGCGCGCGAATGCTTGCGGTACATATCTGCGAACATGACCATGCCAGTGTGTGTCCTCTCGATGAATTGTTAGCCTATGAATGGCCCCCACCTAGAACTGCTTGCCCCACAAAATGCCTCTTGGACGACCGCGTTCTCTTTATAGGCGCTTTCAGTGTATCCAAACCTAGTATATCCAAACCTAGTATATCCAAACCTATTATATCCGAACCTAGTATATCCAAACCTAGGATATCCAAACCTAGTATATCCAAACCTAGTATATCCAAACCTAGTATATCCAAACCTAGTATATCCAAACCTAGTATATCCAAACCTAGTATATCCAAACCTAGTATATCCAAACCTAGTATATCCAAACCTAGTATATCCAAGCCTAGTATATCCAAGCCTAGTATATCCAAGCCTAGTATATCCAAACCTAGTATATCCAAACCTAGTATATCCAAACCTAGTAAGGATGGATTCGGGGCTGTATACCTATCACACGTGCCCATCTCTCGACATGTGATGCCACTTGCTGTACGACATTCTGAGGGTCGAATTCTGTAGGTACAAAATGTACTACAGAGCAACGATAGATATCTGTCCTAATCGGTTGGGTTGCTCATGTTTGTTGCTAGGGACCTCCTGGACAGCACAGGGGATCAACTGGCTCTCCAGCGACGCCCTTTGCACAGGTGAGTGAGAGTACCGTACTTTAATTCATGCTGCAGGCCGTTTACGAGAATTGTAGCGGTCCTGAATTTTGTTTTGTTTTGTTTTTGGAAGTTTAATTTCAATCGTGGATTTGTCTTGTACCATCGCATCAATTCTCGATACCAAACACCCAAACCAAACCAAACCAAACCAAACAAACCAAAAGCAAACCAAAATAATCAGTTCCAGAGAACTCTCCGGAGAACACTCTGAAACGCACACGATCGCATTGCAAGTCATGTAGCTATAATACAGCTATGGAATCATATTTTGCGATTAAGTGTTCATAATCTTTTATACTTTTTATGTATCTGAACAGAACGGCCCGAGAGGGCCACCTGGACCATCTGGACCGCCCGGACAACAGGGACAGGGACCTGGGCACCCTTCGATGGGGCCTATGAGTGCACCGAATGCGCCTGGTCAGGTATATTTATATATATTCATATAGACTTCAGTTTATATATATATATATATATATATATTCATTTATATTTCTTATTTTTTGTTTCTGTTTATATATAGCATAACTGATGCTGATTCCCATTTCTTTGTATACACACACACACCTGTACCATTCGGTTGAAACGACATGTCACATATCATCGCCGTGGAAATATAGCAGCATGATACCCTCTTTATGTGCTTAGCGCGCCACAGAACAAGCACCTCCGCAAACACATGTCATACACACAATTTGCATCCACCTCTCTCCTCACTGTCCCGAACCTTTTTATTCTTGCTCACATATAGGGCACACCCGTAAGGGGTCCCAACGGCCAAGTTCTGGGGCCAATGGGTGCCAGACCCAATGGTCCGCCCGGAGCGGTAGGTCTTCTTCTGGTTTCGGTGTAGTTTTCAATGGTGTTTTATGTCCCGTTTTATGTACCAGTATTGGTTACAATGTGCGATTGCACAAGATAACTATTTTCTTTTGCGAACAATGTCATTGTAGTCTATGAATTACTTCCTATTGTGTGATATTCCCCGCTTTACGTTTCGGTTTTAGGGCTATGCGCATA